AAAATCTTTCTCTTTTTTAAAAAACAATAAACACTATATCTAAAGATTGAATAAAATTATGTCGTCAAATATATTAGGTTCAAAATACAAAAAATAACTATAAAATTCGTTACCATTACAATTATAAAAAAAAAATAGTAATGTAGTTATCAGTCAGCTATGAAAAAAAGTAACTTGTAACTGTAACTTCGTTATAAGTAACGAGTTACTTCCATTCCCTGCATGTGTTACAGTTAATTCAGTACTGCAATTGTTCACACGCGTGCATGCATGCGTGCGGACCAAACATGACAAACATATGCCTTGATATATGAGCTCACTAGTTCTGTAAGCGACCAGTGAACGGTTATAGTACTGAATCAGCATTCAATTGATATCGTCACATGCAGGCTCTGAAGAAACTTGAAAATTTGACACATCTTGTAATAAACGAATGTGTCGGCATAGCTAAACACACGTTGGAAATCATCAGTCAACATTGTAAAAATCTTAGAATATTGGAGCTTAATGGGAACTTTCCCTCCGCACAAACAGCGGACATGTTATATTTAGTCCACCTTGTCAATCTGCATGATTTAAAAATCACATATAATCCTAAAGTATCGGACGATTTCCTTACTGATTTAGTACAACATTGTCAACAGCTTACCAACATAGATATTACAGGTAAATTGCAATCATATAATGTGTGTGTGTGTGTGTGTGTGTGTGTGTGTATTTTTTTATATTCATCACTTTTCAATTATATCTTACATATCCAATAGGTTGCTGTAATGTGAGCGATGCCGGATTAGCGGCTATCGCTACGTTAATAAGGCTAGAAAAATTGGTCGTCAGTTATATACATCAAGTTACTGACGAAGGTTTAAAAAACATGTGTGGCTTGAAAGAATTGGAGTGTCGAAGATGTCCATTTAGCGATCGGGGTATAACAATGCTCATAAAGTCCTCGCCCCAGTTAAAATTGTTAGATCTCTCCGGATGTAGATATATCAAGGATTCCACCCTCGAGGTTGCTAAAGACGCTTGTAGCAATCGAACTAATAATGTAATGTTGAAGATGATAATTGGGGGAACAGCAATTTTCGATCTCTTTGGTTTAGAAAGACTACCTCCGCTATTGCATATAGTTAATGTTGATTTGTCTGATCTTAGCAGTGTGTCTACTATGTATCTCGTGGATGATTTGGAATCTTGGCACGATGAAGATTCAGATTATACGGAATATTCCGATTATACAGAATATTCCGACTAGACGGAATATTCAGAAAATGATTATAGTAAATATAGTCATCTGACGAATTAGGTTATTAGTTGTATATCGATTCGGATTCTTAAGAATATCTGTATCTCTCACAATTTTTCATGATTCTAACCGATTTTTTCTACAATGGATTGCTACCTGGATCAGAATCTTACTATCGTATTGGCTACGATGTTGACAATGCATTGCAGCCAATGATGTCAAGAATGTAATCCAGCAAGGAAACAACCATGTCCCGCCGACTTAAGTGTTTATTATTGAGGTTTTTAATGCCTATTTTATAATTGCGTAAGCATTGTTATAAGTAATTGTAATTGTAAAAATTGACCAATCAGTCACATATTCTTTTCATATTTGACTGTGATTAGTTAATTCTTACAACTTTAACCACTTGCAATTATGTTTACGACTATTGTACTATTGTAGAACAGGCTTAATGCCTGTTCCATACTAGCCGTAAACATAGCTGTGATTATAATTGTAAGAATTGATTAATTGCAGTCGAATATTCTCCTCATATTCGACTTGATTAGTCAGTTCTTCTACAACCACTTACAATCATACTTACGATTATTGTAGAATAGACATAAGATTTTGTATATCTTGTTACTAATAATGATTGATTTTACTTATTCCCATAAATATATAACGCTACAACCAAATTTATGAATACACCTACGATATGTATATACTTTTTTTAAAATTTCATTATATTATGCGATAATAAAATGCAATAACATTTATACACGCACACACACACGCACACACACGCACACACACACACACACACACACACACACACACGCGCGCGCGTGTATAATGTACATATATTATACTAAGTTTGTTTATGCGATAATATACAGTGCAATAAAAATTCAGCAAACGTAAATTTTATCTATTATAAATTGATACCATTATACATACCTGCATATCTGGCTTTTCTTAGGGAAACATTTTATTTTCCTTATTCTCTTTACTCTCAATTATATATAATTGTGCACTTGGGTTTTCAGATACCGAATATTGAATTACAACATCGATGATTTTATTATATTTATAATTAATAACGTTTAGACAATGAATCAATACAACTGCAATTATTATGCACATATGTATATGCAACAAGGAATGTGCACATATTTTAATAAGTGCTAGGAATTACGAACTTTGCGCAAAATTATGAATCATCGCTTGATAAAATTGCTAAATTATGTTGGCATTTCCATACACTTTACGACACGATCTTTCATGGATAATTTTTAATCGTGTATATTGTCTTCCTCTATGGTAGATAGATGGTAGAAACCATTTTACAACAATATATGCATTATATGCCTTTTATACACACACACACACACACACACACACACACACATATATATATGTACGTGTGTGTGTGTGTGTGTGTGTGTATATATATATATATCCTTACTATTATATATTATTGTATTAATCGCGATATAAACGTAACATGATTTTAATTCTTGAGCGTCTTACGCTCTTGCCGATACACATACACACATGGAGAAGTATCTCACACGGCACACAAGTATTACAATATTCGTAATACTTTATCCGGTGATTTTTTTATTCAACTCTGAGACAGTTATTACATGTAATATGGGACTAACTTGTAGATTATATCTACAAAATATAATATTCTGCACAAAATTTCAACGAATGACAAATCGGTCATAATGGGTGCATCCCGTTTCATGCATGATGGGCATAATATCTCATTTTATCTTTCTTTAATATTCAATGAAGAACAAGGTCGATAAAATGATATATCCGGAATGCACCTAATATCATGATTTTGAGCATATTTACAATCTATTCGTGTTTCCTCACAATGATCCTATTGCACTGTTTATCTATTAGTATACATCCTCTGTGTGAAATAGTCCAGTCTGTCAACTTTTATACCAATATTAATATAAGAGTTAAATAAACATTGCATAATTGAATGTCTGTTTAAATTGCGGAAAATTATAGCAATTTACATATAATGACATATACAAAGTGATAATAAGACAATACTGAAATGAAGAGAAATTCAATTTTAATTTAATTTTTTAAATATTTGTAAATTTCAAGTTGGCCATTAATAACTTGCCGTAAAATGGCAAGACATTTTTCATAAAAATTGCACAATAAGATTTGACATGCAATTGGTCATACAAAAGATCAATCTATTTGTTGCGGTTGGATTATGTATACTTATGTGCATGCATGCACGCACCCATGCACACGCGCACACACATTTGGATGAATTGTCGATGGATAATAGCAATGAAAAAAAAAAAAAAAAAACATATACATGTGTATATGTATGTTTTTCATTTTTATTATTCATTAACAAATAATAATGTGAGATACTTCACTCTACTACTATCATGCATTTTATATTTTTAAATTAATGTGAAATACCGACAATAAATCCAGTCTTTATCGCACATTTAGCACTAGGAAGGAATCGAGAATATCACTCACTGTATGCACATATATTTTGCAGCGAAAGAATTCATAACGTAATCTAAATCCTATCGAGTATATAAATAGCTCAAACCATGTTATGAATATTTCATTATTCGTAATGTAAATTACAGTTATGTGAAAAATGAGACAAATTTTTTTTTTTACTTTATATGTTCGCCATTGAAGGATTGATTATGCGATGATAGAGTTGGTCTTTTACATCTTAAATGTACATAATAGTCTATTAAATGTAAGTTTATACATTAAGGTTAATAAATTCGCAAAACTTTTATAATCGAAAGCGAATTAATTTTAAAGACTTGAATTATATTATCAAAATATTCTTTCTAAATTGCCTTTTTTGAAAATGATTACTATTACTATATTATATAGTGTAAAAAGCGCGTTTTGTATTTCTACTGCTGGTTCTCTCTCTCTCTCTCTCTCTCTCTCTCTCTCTCTCTCTCTCTCTCTCTCTGTGTGTGTGTGTGTGTGTGTGTGTGTGTGTGTGTGTGCGTGTGTGCGTGCGTGCGTGCGCGTGCGCGATGTTATGTGATGTGCGCGCGCGCGTGCGATTAAAATTGAAGACATGTGTTAATTACGTACGTGTTAACGCGCGTGATTGAAAATAAGACGGCAATTGTGTGTTTAATCAAGATTATGCATTGATATAAAAACAATGGTTTAACATGATTAAAGATGAAATTTTTGATCGTGTAAATAACATTTCTATGGATGTCAGGTACAAATCTTATACAAGTAATTCTCGATCTAATTAATTTTTTCAAACGACGTTCGTAGGTTTAATGCTCATTCGCGCATCCTAATATCATATCACGGGGAACACAATTTGCCCATGAATCTAATAATAAACTTATATTGCAATTTGTCATCTTACATACTCTTAACAGAAGCATAAGACGAACACGTAAAGTGAATCTTATGAATGAAATTAATATTTGGCACAGTGGCGTGCTGCGTGTAAATTATTTAGATAAGCAAAGTCCAAGCGAAACACGACATATTCGGTCCGCAAGACAAGTGTTTCACCTATATATCACGGTACTTGACGAATTATTACACGAATTATTACATTGTAGTTGTTTCTTCCTGTAAAAACCAAGAAAACGACAAAGATGCATAACAATGGGGTATCAATCGAATTCCTTATGACTGCTTTCATAAGTAAAATCTGTGTAATCATTTTGCGTAACGCTCAACAGTCAACAGAGATACGATGTTCATTTGATACGATCAATGGACTTGACGCACCTATCAAAAACGTATTAATTTTAAACTAAACAAATTCTATATAGGCTCTAATGAATTAAATCAATAAAGATTAAAAAGCCTTTGAGAGTCAACGCTGGATGTTATTGCAATTACGTTTTATAATAATTGAATTATTACGTATATAATAATTGAAATAGATGTATCAATCCATGCGATGTTGAAAACTCGCTTGTCATATAAATCCGGATTTATGATCCATGAAGTGAATCTATTTCAATTATTGCATACATACAATAAAACGTAATTGCAATAACATCCAGCATTGGCTCTCAAAGACTTTTTACTCCTTATTGTATTAATTTTGTAAAAAGATATTGCTAGAGGAGGAATATAACAAGAGAGATATATACGCCACTGTTTGATCGAATGAAAAAACCTAGATGAACCAAGACGGAACTTAGGAGTACTGAACGCGAATATACGTAGTCAAGTATGTAAGAGTTACATTTATTCAGGATTGCACGGCCGATAAGTGTGTTGGCGTAGACGGTTCTAGGTCCATAGTACGACATACCCATCCAGCGAGATCTACGTTTTCCGATTCAGCTTTCCTTATCCATTCGTGATTCTGAAACATATCATCGGAAAACATAATTTTTCCGTTTTTCTTTCTGTTCAAACTATCAATGTTTATTCAGGAGGGAAACATACCGTTAACGTTTTCAAATCTGCTCTATCATTTGGGTTCCTCTTTAAACATCGATCAATAAAATCTATGAAAGCGTTGCTGAATAATCCGGATGGCAGTCTTGGTGGTGGTTCGTTAACTATCAATTCCAACAGCTCGAATACCGCTAATGGCTTAGGAGTGTGCGTGCCTGTGATGATAAAGAATCAAGTTTCGATCGATATTCAGGAACAAAACTTTTTTTCATAAAGAAGACATGCAAGAATGCAAATAAACGAATGAACACTCAAGTACTGACAACGCCTCGTCGGTGGTCGTGGAGGCGGTGTGGAGGATTCGCTGACTGTTGCCGGATTCTCTCCAGCGTGTTGTATCCATTCCGAACCAAATATAGAAGCTAAAAGCCTATCATCCGGCGGTGGAATAGGATACATCCCAATCGCCATTTCCACAAGTGACACACCGAGCGACCAAATGTCGCTTTGCACTGAGTAATGTGATCCTTGGAGTCTTTCTGGCTGAAAACGCTCGATATAAGATACGCTCGGGGCATACCCGCGTAAAATATCACGAGTGTATAATCCACGCCAAGCTTACCGACATATAACTTCGTGTGCCAACGAACGAATGAGCCATCGAATCGATCAGTTGTCCAGAAACGCCAAAATCGCAGAGCTTGATTTCACCCGCGCTATTCACCAAGATGTTGCTCGGTTTTACATCCCGGTGCATTATAGCGTGTTTATCTCGTAAGTAAGTTAAACCTTTCAGAACCTAAAAGTAAAGGAGAAATAAAAGTTTGCAATGAAATATATTAACAAAACAAACGACGAACGAAGCAACAAGAAAGAAAGGAAAAGAGGTACGTTTTTCTTTTTTTGCATCAATCGTATTAAAACGATTTAAAAAATTTCGATAAAAATGTTTGTCGTGTTAAAAAATACAGGGCAGTTTGAAGAGGCAACAAATCATCATTATGCATCAACCGATTCGCGTGGCTTCCATCTTGCATCTACCGGTATCCACTCGCACGGTATCCACCACACACCTACATAAGAAGAAGCTGACCGAGGAGGAGATACAAGAATTACATCAGGAATTGGAGACCGTCGATCACGTGATAGGATTGGAGATTCTGTGCGAAAAACTGGGCACAAATGTGGAAACGGGCCTGACGAAAGAGCAGGCGAGCAAAATTTTGGAACGAGATGGACCAAACGCCTTGTCACCACCCAAGATCACGCCAGAATACATCAAATTCTTTAAATGCATGTTCCATGGATTCGCGGCGTTACTCTGGATCTGCGCGATTTTATGTTTCATCTTGTACGCAGTCACTCATTTCATGCAGGAGGATGACATCGGTATCGCATGGCTAGGAATAATCATCGTTATGATATGCATCACCTCGGGGGTGTTTGCGTACATACAGGAGAGCAAGAATATTAAAGTGATGGAGTCCTTCAAAAAGATGGTGCCCACTTTCGCTACTGTGATACGCGACGGTGTAAAACTGCGCCTGGGTACAGAAGAGCTGGTCTTGGGTGATCTGGTAGAGATACGCATGGGCGACAAGATACCAGCCGACATCAGAATAATCGAGTGCCGTGGGCTCAGAGTAGAGAACTCGAGCATAACTGGCGAGAGCGAACCAGTGGTTCGCACCGATTATCCGACCGACGCAAATCCTCTCGAATCCTCCAACGTGGCCTTTTCCATGTCATTCGCTGTCGCGGGTGACGGCAAAGGGATCGTGATCGCCACGGGTGACCATACTATGATAGGCCGTCTAGCTGGTCTCACATCGCATCTTATCAAAATCGAAACGCCAATCGCCAAGGAGATTAGACATTTCGTCGAGATTATCACTATTGTGGCCGTTCTATGCGGTCTGATATTCTTCGCTCTGTCACTGCTGATCCAGCCAAGTCTCATACGAGCGTTCACTTACCTACTCGGCATAGTTATCGCCAACGTACCCGAGGTACTGCTGGTGACCGTGACGACAGTTTTGACACTGACCGCTCAGAAAATGGCGAGCAAGAACTGCTTGGTAAAGAACCTGGAGGCAGTCGAGACTCTAGGCTCGACATCGACGATCTGTTCCGACAAGACGGGCACGCTCACGCAAAACAAGATGTCCGTATCTAATTTGTGGTTCGGCCACACCAGATATAACTTTCCACCGGGCGAGAGAATCGGCGTCGAGAGGGATTTGCTGTTAGAGAAGCCAGCTTTCGATGGGATGCTACGAGCTGCCACTCTCTGTTTGCGTGCCGAATTCACCGCCGAGTCCTTCATGCTAGCACCGATCGAGGAGCGCGAGATTATCGGTGACGCATCTGAGACTGGTATCCTCAAATTCTGCGAGCACATTCATCCTACGCAGAGATATCGCGAGGCACATCCGAAAGTTGCCGAGATCCCTTTTAGCTCCGTGACCAAGTTTCAAATGTCGATACACCAAGACATCGACGGTTATACCATGATATTGAAAGGGGCACCAGAGGTGATTATGAAAAGTTGTGCAACAATACTGACGGCGACCGGGGAAACGAAAGAGATGACCGCCAACGATTACGCATTATCTCACCGTGCCTGCACCGATCTGGGTTTCCTTGGCGAGCGAGTTCTAGCGTACTGCGATCTACATCTGCCAACCAGTGTGTACGGGCCAAATTACAAATTCGACACCGATTCGCCCGCGTCCTACAACTTTCCCGTCAAGGGATACAGATTCGTAGGGCTGATAAGTCTGCAAGATCCCCCGAGGCCTGGCGTGCCCGAGGCGGTACAAAAGTGTCGTACCGCTGGTATAAAAGTGATCATGGTGACGGGTGATCATCCGGTGACGGCGACGGCAATTGCTAAGAAGGTGGGTATCATAAGCGAAGGTCACGAAACTCATTATGAACGAGCGATTCTGCAGGACAAGTCTTACACGCAACTGATCGATTCGATCATGGCGATCGATATCGCCGCGATCATAATTACCGGTGCCCAATTGAGGAACATGGATGCGAACGAGTTGGACAACATTATACGCCGTTACGAGGAAATCGTGTTCGCGAGGACGTCGCCGCAGCAAAAGCTGTTGATTGTCGAGAGTTGCCAACGGCTGGGAGAGATCGTCGCGGTCACCGGCGACGGTGTCAACGATTCGCCGGCATTGCGGAAAGCTGATATAGGAGTAGCGATGGGGATCGCGGGCTCCGACGTTGCCAAGAACGCTGCGGATATGATACTCATGGATGATAATTTTGCATCGATCGTTACCGGCGTCGAGGAGGGTCGTCTGATATTCGACAATTTGAAGAAATCGATTGCGTATACGTTAACGTCAAGCGTGCCGGAGATGTTGCCCATGTTAAGCGGCCTATTACTCGCGATTCCTTTACCGTTGGTCATTGAACTGGTCATCTGTATAGACGTCGGCACTGACGTCGTCCCTGCGATTGCTCTGGCCTACGAGAAGGCCGAGTCCGATATAATGCGCCGAGCACCGAGAAACCCTCAATACGACAAGCTGGTGAACAAGCGTTTGATATCCATCACCTACGGCCAGATAGGAATGACGCAGGCGTTCGCTGGATTTTACACTTACTTCATGGTGCTTATGATGAACGGCTTTATGCCCAATCGTTTGTTGGGTTTACGAATAGAATGGGAGAACCCATCCATAAATGATCTACAAGATTCCTGGGGCCAAACGTGGACTTACAAAAACAGAATGAATCTCTTGATGGAGGCGCAAAGCGGATATTTTCTTTCCATTGTCATAACGCAAATGGTAGATCTGATCATGTGTAAGACTAGGCGCAATTCTATCTTTCAACAAGGAATGAGCAATTGGTTTGTCAATTTTTCTTTCGTTTTCGAAGCTATTCTAACAGGACTCTTGCTCTATGTCCCAGGCACGGAATACGTACTGAAGACTATGCCACTAATAGCTTACTGGTACTGGCCTTCTTTGCCGCTCGGTGCATTTCTTTGGATCTACGACGAATTGAGACGTTTATGTATTCGTCTCTTCCCACGTGGAATTATGGAAAGAGAAACGTATTATTGAAATCATTTTTCTTCCACAGAGAGAGGATGGTTAGAAGAAAAGTAACCCACAATATAGTAACACACAATAGATGTGTTCAAAATACATAGAGACGTATTTGGAGTATGTGATATCTTTAGGTGATATCTCCCTGAGATGTATTTCGGACATTTCTGCTCTATGGATAGTAACTTGTATTATTCGTTACAGACCTGTCTTTCTCTCTCTTTCTCTCTCTATGGATATCTCGCTTTTCAGACGATTTATTACAATTAGTCGATCAGAGATAACTGTTATATTCATTATTACAATTTATTTTTTTATTAATTGAAAAAAAAAGTAATTGTTATCACGATAGAATTTAATCTAACTGTGAGATCCTGTTTTTCTCTTTTCCTCTTTATTTATATCAATAATAAAATTGACTTACAGCACATGTGATTGTACTTATCATGGATTCTGGAATTCGTCCCGCTTTTTTCATTATTAGATCTAATGATCCACCATCCATATATTCCATACATATACAAATTTCTCCCCCACTGAAAGAGATAGTACACATATACAAGTCGCTGTAGCAGTTTTGGTACTGTACGCAGAGACAATCTGTATATATGCACGCGCGCACGCACACACAAGCGCGCGATATTATACGTGCATGTAAACACATGTGTCTCAAGGAATAATCCTCTTAAAATGTAAACATTTCTGAAAAGTTTACCTGCAAAAAGCGCCATAAAATCCAACTATATGTGCAAAGTTACATTCATGAAGGACTTTTAATTCTCTAATTATTTGCTTCTTGATAGGTGGTTTCACTTCCAAGCGTATTTGCTGAAAAATTTGAGACAAAAATACCAGTGAGTATAGAATAGACATTCTAACTGCGCCTATGAATA